ATCAGCGACGTCGTCCTCACCACCAGGCGGGCGTCCCCTCATCAGACGGACACCGCTTCAGCTCCACACCTAGGCTGAAGGGTTCACCCCTTGGAGTTCATTTTGGGGGATCCGGTGTGCTCTTTTTCCCTCATTAGGATTTTTTTCCCACAGGGTTTTTCCTAATGAGGTTTTTAACGAGGCACCGCCTCATTGTGGATCAAAAGGTGTCGACCCTCGGCCCCCTATTGAAGACGTGTATTGCTCTACTCCTCTTCACCTCACTACATGAGCCTCGAGGAGTGGGGGACTGGGGGACTACATCGGCCTCCACATACATGAAATCATCCAGAAAGCAACAAAAAGCAAGGACTACCAAGTGGTACCTCCGTCGGCCATGTCTCCATCGGCCAGAAGAAGGTCTGGGGGACTACATCGGCCTCCAGCGTAAAGAAACAAATTCAAAATCCAACAAACACAAGCCCATGACAATGGCACCTCAACGTCCAACAACCATGTGTTCACCCTTCGGCCAGGCCGAAGCGCAAAGCAGGACGCACACCGTCCTCAATGTCAAGGTCACACATCGTCCTAAAGATCAAGGGCACGTGTCGTCCTCAAAGCCAAGGACACTCCTCGTCCTCAAGGCCAATGGCACGCATCGTCTCCGGGACTATGACATTCATTGTCCATATCACGAACAAAACGAACGCGTCACGAATGTCCGCAAGCGTAAGGTCCATCAATTAAAGTCAAAAGCACAAGGGCATGACATCCTTTGTCCACCGAGCCAAGGGCGCACAACGTCCTCTGGTCCAGGACCCTCATCGTCCTCAAAGTGAAGGACATTCATCGTCCTCAAAATGAAGGACATCCATCATCCTCAAGACGAAGGACACTCATCGTCCTCAAGACGAAGGACACCCATCGTCCTCAAGACGAAGGACACCCATCGTCCTCAAACAAGAGATAACCACAATGGCCTCCTCGGCCCAAAGTACGAAATTCAACCATCAACGGCCAGGAATAAGGAAGCACTGTCTTCATCGGCCACTCATGACAGAGGACGCTCATCGTCTCCACCAAGCAAAGGCACTCGTCATCCTTAAACAGAAAACACGCATCATCCACATGACTAGGGCCCTCTTCGTCCACATCAAGGAGCACACAACGCCCAAAACAAAAAGGGACATAAATCTACTCTCCTTCACTTCGTCAACGTCTCAGCTAAGAGAGTGGGGGACTCCTGATGGAGTATATGGGTCTAGGCCCCAGGACCCACATACTCAGAAGAACAGAAGGTACCACGATCACCTGGTGGGACCCCCTTCGGCCGGAAGGCCTCCATCGGCCAGAAAGAAGTCCACTCAGAATATGATCCAGAAGCCCGGAGAATCGGGTGACCTCGTCGGCCATGCTCTCATCGGCCATGCCCTCATCGGCCAGGAAAAGGTCTACTCAGAATATGATCCAGAAGCCCGGAGAACCGGGTGACCTCATCGGCCATGCCCTCATCGGCCATGCCCTCATCGGCCATGCCCTCATCGGCCAAGAAGAAGGCCACCCGGAATATGATCCAGAAGTCAGGAGAACCGGGTGACCTCGTCGGCCATGCCCTCATCGGCCATGCCCTCATCGGCCATGCCCTCGTCGGCCACGAAAGTCTCACAGAACCGGATTTTACACTTATTCATTTATATAGCCCACCAGTGGCTCTGTATTCAGCCCAATAGCGGTCCAGTTGTAAATGGGCCTCCCAAGCCCAAGGCTTGGGAGCCCAGCCCGTATTTTTCCCATAAATACTTCCTCTGGAGGTAGTTATAGGGGTTACAAAATTCATTCTATTGTAGCATATCTTGCACTTCTCTCTCTAGCTCTCACTTCTCTCTAGACATATACTCTATCAATTAGTTTAACCATGAAAATGCAAAAAGAAATGAAAATTAAGCAGTTTTCTAAAACATATATTAGATTTAAAACTGTTATTCTCGATATAATAGACATTGTTAGATAGAGCACAACACTAGATATAATATTAGTGTCCTAAACTCCTAATCTTAGGTTTCCCCAACCCCTAACTGTATTTTCATGGGTCGAGTCTATACTTGTGCTGCACACACGTATGCACACACTTACAGGGAACGGATAATATTTTATTTACATTGAGGGTTGATTTTATAAATTAGAATTTAACAATGTTTCATTATTCTAATCAATGGTTAAAATTGACAAATTGTCTTTATTAATTATTTTAGCAAATAGCCACCGTTTGAATTTAGAATAATTAAGAAAAAGGCACTATATGATTGATAGCCATTGATTGAACAACATGAAAGACGGAGATTACAAGTTCTCATAATAAAGTGATCTCATTGTGAGATTGTTGTACTTAAATGAATCCTCCCCGCACGTACAAACACATCATTTTGCTTTTGGCCCAAATTATTTGAAGGACCCATTTTTTGCTCATTAGCATCAACTATTAATATTAACTAATAGATGATTTTGAAAATTCAATTTTACTGAAGATAAAATGTTAGTACCCAATTTTGATAAGATTTTGATGATGCCACTATACTTTGCTCTTGTACATTGTGTCTCATTTACCTAAAGTATCCGTGTTCAAAATTAATCATAAAGTGACAAATCAATGTACAATTTTTGTAACTAGTAAATTATACTGGAAATTAAAAATGCAATAAGGTAATTTTTATTTATCTTAAAAAGATATTTAAATCCTACCGGTATCAATTTATTTAAACACAAAAATTAAAGTGTCACAGAAATAAGGTCACGTAGGTACGAAAATCATATACATTGCATGTGTATGATTGAAGACAAAATTTGACATGCAGTTAATGCGAAAATCGTACAAGGGAGCCGGAACATGGGACGCACACAATAAAAATCGTCAGAATGATCCTGAAAGGATGTTTCAGCGGCTCAGTGAAATCCCCAATATTTGCTCCAGCACATGAAGACAAAAGTACAACTCGCTCAACGATCCAGATCAATTTATCTTAACCAACGGATAAGATTGATCAGCCAGAGAAGCCTATAAATATAGGCCGAAACAAGAGTTTCTAACTTAGCTTTGAGCATCCAAAGTAGAGAAAAACTCCCACTGAGCATTTAAGAGATATCTAGCAAAAGAGAAAGTGCCTGTGGTTTAACTTTACTCTCTGCTTTGACTCATGCTTCACTAAACTTTCAAGTTACAAATCATCATTGCTATATTCTGGAAGTTTAGTTCCTAGTTGGAGGTTAGAAATTTCTTGAAACAAATCACAAAATATATTGTTGTAAACACTCAGGAGAACAGTTGTTCTAATCCTAGTGTGGATAGATAGATAAGATCATAAGAGTACCTTTTGATCCCCACTGGATCAATTGAGAAAATTCTAAAGGACTGAGTAACTTGGAGTGTTGTGTACTCCTTGTGAAACACCTTTCAATCTAGGTCATTTCAGTTGTAAAGGCTAGATTGGGCACTAAGTGTATTGAGCTTAATACTTTAGTGGAAATCCATCTGAAAGAGGGTGAGACTGGACGTAGGAGGATTATACCACCTCTGAACCAGGATATACTGTGTGCTGATTTACTTTCAGTCAACAAAGCACACAGCCAACACTTCTCATTAAAGAAAGTAGTCTGCCAGCAGTATCCTCAGCAGTAGCCTCATCCGACACCATTGCTCAACCTACTGCTTAATTACATACTTTCTTTGAGACATCTTTACATTGCAGTATTCTTACAAAATCACTACAAAGAAGTTTGCTCAGGCCACTGCTCCCATAAACTTCCACTTAAACACACCTGAACACATTTCCAGAATGCTCATATCATTCTAGGTAAGATTCTGCAATCAGCCCTCTCATATTCTCATCTTTTATCAAGCAGTTGCCTCAGCAGTTCCCTGACAACCACCCAACTGCTCAAACCACTGCTATCATAAACTCCCACTTTCCACTAAACTTTATACATCTCCAGATTGCCCTCATTATCCTCAGTAAGACTCCATAATTAATTTCATCATAAGCTGTATATTTCTTAAGCAGTTGCCTCAGCAGTTCCCTGATTTTCACCTCACTGTTTAAACTCAATCTTTACTCAAAGATAGAAATTTCATACTCATATAGAGGTTAAGACTTCCGTTGTACATCTATAATCTCCCAAAAGATCATAGATCAACTCATCTAGTGGGGAAAAGTTTGTAAAGTTGAAAAAGCCTTAAAAGTATTCTTCTGCAAAGTCATTGGCATTTTGTTGGTTCTCCAAAACTCATTCAAGAGATGTGTTAATCACTGGACACCTCTCTCTTCCAAACTGCTCCAGACCTTGATCGGTATGGCATCTAGATTCATTGCTTTCTTCTACGTTATCTGTCCAGAGCTTCTTTAACTCCTATCGTTTATGTCATTCTCATAAAATTCCAATTCCCCATACAATCTGATATAACAAGATCATCAATATCTTATGCTTTATTCCTATTGAATAATGTACCAAAGTATTATCTTTATCTCTTTTAGTTCTCAATCCTTTATTAGTACTCTTTGATTGACATTCTTCACACAATTAACCTTTTCGATATCTTTAGTCTTATGATCACGAAGATGAGCAAGTCTATAAATATACTTTTCTCCTTCTTTAGAGTATCTTTACATATTACTCCTTATTCACTTTTCCACGTGCTTCCTACGCGGCTCTCTTAGCTTTTCTTTTGGCCTTGTAATCTATGTTCTCATCACTCCAACTTTTCCTCAAAATTTTGTAACAAATTTTGTAACATTGCATTTTATTCCTTATAAAATGGGACATGCATCATACAAAAAAATGATCTCATGACGAAGTTATCGCTTACAAACATAAGTGAACAAAGTGAGTATCAAGCCAATAACAAATGTTAAAATAATTTATTGAGTGTTTTCATCCCATTTCCCCCTTTATTTTCTTTCCTATTTTCTTGGCTGATATTTTGAGGATCCAAATGGATCCTTTCCCTTTGGTGATCTTCTCACCAGGTCGCGCCCGCAGAGCTTGAAGGTTTGCTTGTTTCTCACCCCGAAATCCTGGATGCTGTCGTCATCCCGTAAGTTGCACCTTTAACAACTCGTGCTTTTACTATATAGCCTCTGGAGTAATGCAGACTTAGTTGAGTTGTCTTACCAAATAATGCACTCATGAGATACCGAGTCAAGCAAACTGCTCCTCTCGTTGAATTAATGGTTAGTTTTGAGTGAATGCGTAACTTGTAATTAGAGAAAGTTTCTTTTGTCACTATTATGAATAGAATTATAAATTGCTGCTTTCAAAAGCCACGTGGGGGGGGGGGGGGGGGGGATAGGATTACTCTATCTATGTAAAAAAGAATCTTGTTTTGTAGTCCTGATATGAGTATTAAAAACAAGCCTCTATTTTGAAGATGGTTGTAGTGTATTTTATCTGCTCCTGCTGAACTTTTTCTTCTGTATCCGCCCCTGATAGCTATCCAGATACCGAAGCTGGTGAGGTCCCAGGTGCGTTTGTTGTGCGTTCTCCAAGTAGCTCTCTGAGTGAAGAAGATGTCAAAAAGTTTATTGCAGATCAGGTATTATCATTGTTGTTATTATTATTATTTGGTAAAAGTCATTTCATGCAAATCAAATTGGGACAGGAGTATATTTTAGCAACAGTAACCGATACACACTAGAGAAAATGTGGCGCAATATTATAAGTTGGTGGGCTTTCATTTAAGAAGCATTTCATGGGAATTTTTTTACAAACATGACTGAATATATTGCAGCAGTTGAAAGCTCACAATCCTACACCTGGTTAAATATTTTTGTGTTGGGGTCAAATGAGTGCATATATTGTTTGCTGTATTAATCACCACAGTGATTCTTTGTGCAGGTTGCACCATTTAAGAGACTGGTCAAGGTAACATTTATAAATAGTGTCCCAAAATCTGCCTCTGGGAAAATTCTCAGACGGGAACTCATTGAAAAAGTTCGAGCGAAATTATGACCTCACACAGGGACGAAGCCAGGATGTCTTCGTAGGGGGGATATCAATGTATTGTGCAATATAGAAACATTCGTACCCTAATTATTAGAATTCTTTGAGACTTTGTAAGACTATTCAAAATTACTCTTTTACAACATGTTTGGATCATGCTTAGGAAAGGAAAACTAATACTATGAAATAATACTTTTTGTGTTTGGTTTTGCATCACACTTAAAAGAAAATAAAGTATGATTAATATTATTAATTTTATTTGCATACTTTGTATATTTATATTACTCTAAAAATAGACATACTTTGTATATAAGATGAAATTTATCTCACGTCAAACTTAATTTATTAGATTTGATTTAAAAAAATCCCATATGCTCATCCCCTTCTCCTCTAGCATAGAAGCAGCAGATGTGCCGCTCACGGCTCATCCCCTTCTCCTCTAGCACAGAAGCAGCAGATGCGTCTGCGCAATTACTTCTCCTCCCTCTGTCTTTCTTTTCACTATTTTTCGTTTTTCTCTTTTTCTTATTCAGTTTTGCTGTTTGAGATTATGATTTTGGAAGACAAAGAGAGTCAACTGCAGACAAAGGAATCCTTACTCTATTGATCTCAAATGAGTTTTATATCAAACTGAAATGAGTATACACATAAAAGAAATGAACATACACAACTGAATACTAAGTACGTTAAAAATGAGTTTTATATTAAATTCAAATGAGTATACGCATAAAAGAAATGAACATACACAACTGAATATTAAACACATTAAAAATGAGTTTTATTTTAAACTGAAATGAATATAACGCCTGAAATCAATGAGCATACACAAATGACCTTTTGAATTTTGTGATACTCATTTTGTAAATTATGTATGCTCATATGGTACTGCTTTATGCTCGTTTTAAAATGTTGCACATATCAAACATATCATACTACATTAAATTCATATATTGAAATTGATTATAAACATCATTTAATATTTTTTTATAAACGAAAAAATAATAAAAAGAAACTGAATTAGAAGATATGAAACACAGATCACCGGTGCTCATTATTAGACTCTCAATACTCAAAAGAATAGACTCGATGCTCATGAAAATTGCATCAATTCTCATTTACGAGAAATCACGATTTTCACCAAAATTACAAGTTTACCACCGACTGTACGACCGGCACCGTACAGCCGGCTATACCATATAAGCTTCCGCTGAATGCGACTATTGAGTGTATGCCCCTAATTGATATTGGAGCCTTGGACAACGGGTCACATACATCAAGTAGTTAGCACTACATGCTTATAAATATATACCCCGTATTACCGTATATGGTTAGATCTTTAATTATCCTTTTATATATTTGCGCCTACTAGCTGAGAATAGTGGTTCAGCTCACATTTGTACTATATATACTCCTTTAGAGCCATCCAAAGGGATGACAAATCATATGAAACAGCTCCATTCTATAAATATGCATGCATGAAACAATAGTAATACCCCCATTTAATTTGTATCCACTGTTAATGAAGTCACGGTTTACCTCATCTATTCAAAATTTCATAACGTCTTCCTTTTATCTAGTCTATACTCGTATCAAATCATAGTTGTCATGACGCATGACGACATTATACTATAATTCTCTCTCTCAACCACCAAAACATTATACTACCTCCGTCCCATAAAATTCTTACCACTTTGACTTGGCACGAAGATTAAGAAAATGGAATAAAGTGAAAATGTATGGTTGTGGTTGTGTAAGAAAAAGGTGAAATGAATATGAATCACACAAATTGTCCAAAAATGGTAAGTGGGAAGAATTTTTTGGGACGACCTAAAAAGGAAAGTTGAAAGAATTTTATGGGACAGTGGGAGTAAAGGTTTAACTCTTCTTTTGATATTTCAGGCTTTGAGTAATTTAAACCATTATACCTATTTTATATTTTCAAAAGACATGTGATGTAATGGCCGAGCTCTTCTATTGTACGTTGCTTTGGTTCATATTTAGGATGTTTTTAACTTGGACTGTTCAGTTCCAGACTAGACTTAAACATATCAGACCAGACCAGTTCAGACTAGTTCAGACCAGATCAGACTTCATTAGTTATAAAATACATAGAAACCAGACATTTACTAGACTAGATCAGACTAGTTCAGACCAGACCAGATTAGACAAGATCAAATTTAAACAAATCAGCCCAGATGTTATAATTTTTAACGTGGACCCCTAGGGTAACGTGGATGTAAATAGCAATAATATGTGGCATGTGTATACGTAGTTTACATGTATATACGTAGCATGCGTATTAGTTGAGTTAGTTAAAACTAATCCGTTGAGCTGTTGTCCGGTGTAGCTTAAATACGTATGCATGCAATAAAGAAATCAACTTTTACTCATTTGAATTCTCTCTTCCTAAATTTCTATGCATGGGAAAGTATCTTGGGAGCAATTTGTGATAGATATCTATGCTAGATTTAATGAAGAATTAGGGAGTACAATAGTTGAAGATTTCAACAAACTTTAACAACTGAAATCCCTAGATGAGTACATGGATACATTTGAACAACTAAGGGGGCTGTTGTTACAAAGAAGTGATAGATTGCCTAAAACATTTTTTCTGGATAGCTTCATTGGTGGACTGAACCCCACCATTAAACGCTCTGTTAAAGCTTTCAAGCCAAGAACATTGTTACAGGCCATGGAGTATGCTAGACTACAAGAAAACAATATAGAAGCCTTTAAAAGATTAGGCAAATATGAACCTGAAAGGCTTGTACAAAGAAATGAAGAGAATAGAGTAATACAACCTTTAAGAAGTATACCCTATACTGGCAATAGAGGACTACTATCAAGAGCACCTATAGAATCTAAGGTGCCTAGGAGTGCAACCAACCATGTAAGGAAACTGGTGTCCTCAAGTGATATTGAAGAAAGAAGAAGAAAAAACCTATGTTTCTATTGTGATGAAAGTTACCACCCTGGTCATACGTGCAAAGCTCAACTGTATAAATTGCAGATCCTTCCCCTTGAATTTGAAGATGATGGTGAAGTAAATCTTGTGGAAGAAAAAGAAGAGAATGAAATCTGCCAACTGGAAGGGAAACAGGCTGGTAATATCGAAGATTGGGAAATGCAGCCTCACATTTCCCTCGATCAATGCAATTACTGGGCAGCAACATACCAAACTATGAGGGTGACTGGAAAATTCAAAAATAATGACCTCTATATACTGATTGACTCAGGGAGCACTCATAATTTTTTGGATTTTCATACTGCTAGAATTTCAAATGGAAGATTCATGGCCATGAATTCCAAACTGATGTGATGATTGTACCCTTGGGAGGCTGTGAGATGGTTCTAGGCATACAATGGCTATCTTCCTTGGGTCCAATGAAGTGGAACTTCAAAGATTTAATCATGGAGTTCAAATACCTAGACAGAAGAGTGATTGCTAGAACTTGAGGTTTGATTGTTCTGTATTACTGCTACCAGATTCTCTATCATTTTCTCTAGATTTCCGATCTTTACCAAAGTCCTTTGGAAAAGAAGCTATTTTAGTGGTAGTAGATCGTTTAAGCAAAGCAACTCATTTCCTGGCCCTATCACATCCTTATTCAGCTATTGATATAGCTCAATTATACTTGGATAATATCTATAAACTCCATTGTCTGCCAGACTCTATAGTCAGCGATAGAGACTCTATTTTTCTGAGTAATTTCTGGGAAGAATTATTCAGACTGCAGGGAGTTTAATTGTTGAGATCTACTGCATATCATCCACAGACTGATGGTCAAACAAAAGTAGTCAACAAGTGCTTAGAGTCCTATCTTAGATGCATGTGCAATTCTCATCCTAATTCTTGGAGTAAGTGGTTGAGCTTAGCTGAGTGGTGGTATATCACCTCTTTTCATACTAGTACAAAGTCAACTCCTTATGAGATATTATTTGGCGAGTGACCACCATTGCATTTTGCCTTATCTACCTGGTGAATCTGAGAATGACACTGTAGACACATGAGTTTAACTCGAAGGGAGGACATAATTTAAGAGTTGAAATTCCAGATACAACGATCTCAGAATAGGATGAAGCAGCGGGCTGATAAGAAAAGATCAGACAAAGTTTTTCAGATAGGAGATTGGGTTTATCTGAAATTGAAAAATTACAGGCAGACTTCTGTGGCCACTAGATCCAACCAAAAGCTAGCACCGAAGTATTATGGTCCATACAAAATCATAGATACTGTAGGAAAAGTAGCTTATAAACTACTATTACCTACAAGCTCTCAAATTCACAATGTATTTCATGTGAGTCAACTCAAAAAATGCTATGATCCTACATCAACTGCTGCTGAGGTTCCAACATTTTTCTATGATTCTAGTATACCTAAGTTTCCTGAAGAAATTATTCAGACAAGATTGGTAAAACGGAAAGGGCTGGCTGCTGCTGAACTCTTAATAAAGTGGCAAGGTTTATCGGTAGAGGATGCCAGGCCACATGGATGTTTGCATAAGAGTTTACACAACAGTTTCCTGAATTTCATCTTTGAGGACAAAGATGCTAAGGAAGGGTGTTTTGATATAGTAATTCGAATAATAGATAGTGATGTCAGCAAGTTGTTAGCTGAGCTGTTATAAGCCGTTATATGTTAGTTGATATTTTTGTTACGATCAAACTGATATAAATACGGTACACAGAGGCTTGTAAATGATATGAGAATAATATGCATCACTTCTATCATCTTCCTCCTATACCCTATTTCTGCACATGCATTTTTGCCATTTTCAAGCTTTCCTTCGACTAGTTTTCTTACACTCCAACTAGACCAAGAAGCTTGATAGTAAAATCGTTTAGTTTATTATCCCATTCTACATCAGCCGATGGGTGTGCGGCGGGCTTCACAGGGTGTGCAACGGAGAGGGGTTATGCTTGAGGCTGCGATGGAGAACGGAAGAGGGGGAGTCAACCATTTTTTTAGTGGAGCGGGTACGATAGACAATAGGGGGAGGCGGGCTTTTTTTGAGAGTGGGGTAAATAATTCCAAAAAAAGGATGAAGCCCCTATCCTTGAGGGCCCCAACCCCGCCTGACAGATAGAGAATGGGGCTCTGTCCCGATACATGCAGATGCATTTTTAGCATAGTAACCTCTCATCGCAGTTGCCGAGATTCGAACCCGTGAACTAATCCTTGTGGCACTCCCTCACTACCAGTTCAGCTACGTCCACCGGTGAGTAAATAATTTCAAATGGTTTGTATATGGTGTACACTAAAATT